TGAAAACTTGTTGTTATCTATTCCTTAGCAATATCTCATAACTCCTAAGAAGTAGCTCAAGAATCCGATTTCAAACTACGCGATAGAAATCCATCTATGCGATCAGATTCAGCATATTCTTTCTTTAAGTTCCTTTACTTTTCTTTGATTCTTAAAACATTACCATGTGACCCAGTCACATCATGTATCAGAATCTCAGAATAGAAACTTAACAGAGTTAGATAGTGGACTTTACCTGAAGTAGAGTCAATCTTATTGACTTTAACATCCTTAGGTAAATTTGGCAGCTTCGCAACTAATGACCCTTCTTTGGCAATATAAACATATGGACCCTTTGATAATGGTACACGGACTATCACAGACTTAGCTTTTCTCTTTACCATTTGTTCAACCGAATTGACTATGGCCGATCCCTTTCCATTGGGAAGAGAATGCTTTTTCTGTATTTCCAGTGTCACCATTGTCAATGTCCATAAAGTTTCAGGAAGTTGATCTTAGATAAGATCATTAAGGGTCTTGTCATAGTCTATTTCATAGGTGTCCCAAAGGAACTCACTATGTGACTTAGAAAGTGATTGAACCACCAACTTTCTCAAGACTTTGACACCCAACTCTCCCGGCTTGTCAATATGTGACTACATCTCCAAGATGTGATCACACCTAGACCTTGCTTGCCAATAGGGTTCGAGTGACCTTAAATTTTCAAGAACTTGTGGGTTAGGGAGAATAATTGGAGAGGAGAAGAAGTATGATATCCATGGGACATCATCTTCATTTAGGAAAGCTTGTTTCAAGAGATTTGGGAAGATCATAAATGTCTAAACCAGACATGTTTGGGAGATATTCAAGATAGTTGATCTTAAAGTCCTTAATATGACACCCAATATGAAATATTAAGGCTAGGACCCAACAAACTATTTTATAACTTAGAAGAGGTATGCCGTAATCCAAGCTATAAAACAATTTGAAGGTAGGTGAATGACGATTCACCAATTTCCACCAAGATAAACGAAATGTATTATTAGGTTTTAATTGGTTTTGAAACTCCTAGATCTTTTGAGATTCATTGAACTGTTCAATGGCATGTTTCAATCTCGAGTGTGCCCTTCAGGTTTTGTGACTGGGATGCCGAGGATCACAAAACAAGGTGTGAAGTAACCATGCAAATTACTGGTACCCTTAAGTGTTTATCCCTCAATCGATGTGCCGGTTAACCACACACGCTCCATCGATACTATGATAAACATTAAGTTACCCTTTGCCTACCTTGTTAAATACGAGTTAGTGTGCCGGTTAACCACACGCGCTCCACTAACCGACTTAAACAAAGTGCAAAGTGTAATTTCATGGATTAGCACCTTATTCACATTTTCCTAAGTAACTAAGATTGGGTATTATTAAAGTTTAGTTACTTAGTATTTATCATTAATACTTTTAATGAAGGGAGAATTATAGTCATGTCAAACCCGTTCGGCTAACGACCCTCCACCAGTCAAGCAAGCGGTGGGTGAGAGTGAACACCCATTAAGTTGCCATTTTATAGGCAACAACCTTATACCCACCTTATAGACCGGCTTCGTGAATGAGGCGTACTAGCGGTAAGACCGACTTTACTCTTATACATATAAATATTATTAACTTATAATATTATAAAGTATAAGGGTTGAATTTTAACTTTTAAAATTCTAAGGGCTAACTTGGAATTAAAGTATTCATAAGAGAAAACTTTACAAATTCCAAAACTTGAGGGCAAGTTTTGAAACTATTCAAAACTAATTAATTCCATAACTTATGTATTTAAAGTAGTTTTAATCCAAAAACTCTTCAAGTTCCATAACTTGTGGACAAATTATGGAAGACTTTAAACTAATAAAGAATTAATCTTTTCTTTATTTTATAACTTATGGAATTAATTAAGGTTACATATTTTATTTATTTATTTTTAATGAAGTGACTCTTGAACCTCCATAACTTAAGGACAAGACTCTTCATCTTTTGTAACCTTTGCCAACTTTATGAGTTTTATGAGTCTTTAATGTGACTCTTCATGTAACTTAAGGATAAGTTACACAAACACATTTTATACTCAACTCTTAGATTAATTTGGATTGAAAACAACTTTTTCACTCAACTTTTCTATTAATCTAAGCAACTCATAAGAACAAGATAATTCAAATCAAACTTTTTCATGTAATTAGTCTAACCTTTAAACTAATACAAAACATGAATCTATTGACAATTATCTTTGAAAATGGATTAGCATGAACATTACCACATTAAAAACAAGTTTATAAGTTCAAAACAACTTAGGGTAATGTTCCTAGTCCATTTCTAGCCAAAAACCTCGAAGATATGCTGTCTGGGGTCCAACTCGTCGAGTGCATGAACACAACTCGGCGAGTTGGATGCATTTTGCCTTGGACTCGTCGAGTCCCTTCATGGACTCGGCGAGTCAGCTGGGCTGACAGCATCAAAACTCGATTTTTCAGCTTCTATTGCAGGTATAACAAGAAAACAAGCCTAGGCTCTGATACCACTGTTGGGTTATGAGCATTCTAACACTCCTAAGTGTACATGCAACCCTAAATACCTTGGATCTATGTTTTCTCTATTATACATGCAAATATGAACATCCAAGGTATTATCCTAATCTAGCATACAAAATAATGAATATAACAAGATAGAATACATACCTCTTTGATAGTGCTTGTCTTCATGAAGCTTGAGTGCTAGTGCCCCAAGTGTGACACCTCAAATGGTTCACACAACACCAAATACACTTGGAATAACTTGAGAGAAACTACACTTCATGAAATCGGTAGCCCTCTCTAGAATAATCTAGTGTCCGATTTTGGGAAGAATAATATCTTTATATAGTGTTACAATTAGGGTAAACCCTAATTGTCATGACTTTCCATTTCCTTGGATCCATGGGTTCAAATACACCATGGAGCATCCATGGAGCATCATATGGGTTTTGGCCCAACTAGATAATCCATGGAGCATTAGCCCACTATATAAGTATGGATGATTTACACAATCAACCCATATATTTAATTAGTCTTCTTTTGATCACTTAATTAATCCTAGATTAATTCTTGATCAATACTAATTAAATAATCTTATTATTCTTATTATTAATATACTAGAACTTATAATATATTAATAACCATAAGTGTCTTATTTCTCTCATTATAGTCTATCCAAGTGCATGATGCCATGCAACCCAAATGGACCATGCCGGGTCGGGTCAAGTCTTACCAATTATAGTTATGGACTTAGACATTAATCCAACAGTGAGTTCATAACATAATAATTTATATCAGATTAAAATTAAACAAAAATAATACATAACATAAAATCAAAACACTTAATCCAACATTGTTTAGCATAACCAAAGTGACTACATAACACCACAGTGAGTACATAACATAAAATTGAAACACTTAATCCAACATTGTTTAGCATGACCAAAGTGAGTACAAAACATCAAATTAAAACACTTAACCCGAAATCAGTTGTCATAAATACATTGACTACATAACGCCATTGACCACACTTAACCTATTCTAGTTCCATTGGCTTGTCAATAGTGTGGCCTTCCCCATTTTTACCCTCAACCCGTGTACCAAGTTTTTTCTTCAAAAAATTTTCCGACTTCGTTCTTGTCTTGACAATTACCTTTTTACCCCTCCCTCATATATCATGTTTACCATCCTTTGTCTTCCTACCATTGCTTCTTTCCCAAAACATTACCATTACTGCCCTTTTTACCCCTCCCCCTTTATCATTTATAACATCATTTGCCTTCTTACCACTGCTTCCTTCCCTAACTTTTCCATTATTGCCCTTATTACCCCTCCCCCCTTTATCATCTATAACATCATTTTCCTTCTTACCACTGCTTCCTTCCCCAACTTTTCCATTAATACCATTATTACCCCTCCCTCCTTCCTTATCTGTCATACCTTTTTCCTTCTTAGCATTGCTTCCCTCCCCATCAATAACATATGATCTCTTCCTTTTCCTTACCTTTAGTTTTGTTGGCTTTTCAGATTTAGAACATGTAACCTTGTTATGTCCTGCTTGTTTGCATACACTACACATAATCTTTTTCCCAACCTTTTGATACAGTATGTCTAGCACCCTTTTCACTTGAATCCTTTCTTCTATTAACTTTAGGTCTACCTGGCATTTTTCTTTTCAATGGTGGCAAAAGTGGAATGAATTCAGTAGGTGGCCACATGTTGCTACCATTCATCCTACACATAAGATACTTGTAGGTGTTCTTATAAATTGCTCCATAGTACATTGGATCCACATAATTACCAACATCACTGTTAAGGTATGAGATTGTTGCAACTGAATGCACACATCCATACCCATTTAGTTGCCACACTCTACATGAACAAGTCTTCTTATCTACATCCACAACGTAAGACTCTGCCAAATTCCTTGTTTCAAACTGGTTTAAACCAGTAGATAAAACATGTCAATACCTGATGTAATGGTATAAAAGTTAGGGTGTATAGTGGAAAAACTAAATAAAGTATTAATAGAAAATAAAAAACCTTTGAGCTCTTTTCAATTGATTCAATAGGATTGTAATGGTTGGGCATGGTTTATAATCAGGCCATGAACAACCTTTGATGGTGAGATTGAATTGCATCTCCATAACATACAACCTAATTTCTTCTAACATTGTGATTATTGGCTTTTTCCTTGCATCTCTAATGACATTTTTGAAGATAATCCATTTTCAACTGCATCACACATCCTCCCCTCTCTAAAGAAAGCTTTACACAAATGATTTTGGGTTCTTTTCCATAAGGTAGTCAAATGTTGCAGGATTTAGTACTTGTATTTCCTTCATTGTTGCATTGAATAAAGGTTCATTTGATGCTTTGCAAGCTTTCCAAAACATCCTCTCATAATGCACACCACTGAACCTTTTCCTAAAGTTGGTAGCAATATGCCTTGCACACTGTCTGTGTTCAGCATTATGCATTACTTCCTTTACAGCCTCTAATAGCCCCTATACAATTTAAATTCATATGTTAAGAAAATGGAAATTTATTAACAACAAATATGAAGTATAATAAGTGATTTACCTTATGTTGATTTGACATCAGGGTGATACCACTACCATCATCAACTTCTAGATCATCTTGAAGATTCTCCAAAAACCATTTCCAATTTTCTTTATTTTCCACACACACAACTGCCCATGCTATTGGAAAAATATGATTGTTAGCATCTCTTCCTACGGCACATATCAATTCTCCACTACATAATCCCTTTAAGAAACAACCATCCAGGTTTATTGTAAGGTCGAACCTTATAATATGATGATGTTCAAAACAACAGCTATACAAGAACACATCTTGACAAAAAAAATCTTCATACTCAGCTTCAGCTTCTATTTTTACAGGCCAGTAAGGACTATCCAGCAACTCCTGTCTTCTATTCAGCTACTCCATAGCAATTAGTATGTGAAACTCTCCAGATAGATCTTGATGACTCGTGCACATTTGTCTTAAGCCAACAAGATGTGCTGTTGGAGCTCTTGGAATTTATGTGGTGCGCTGAAAGCACATTTTTTCTGTTTTTATCGAGATAAAACATTCCATGTTCAGGAACAGAGATGAACTTATGTTGAACCGGCTCAACACCGATAGGAAGAGAGTTGTTTATTCCTTTAGCACCAAAATTTAAAACCAGCACATCTTCACTATTAACTTGAAATCTGGTCCTTCTGATTCTTGGAACTGAAGAACTTTGACCTTACTGCTGAGAACGCTGCATAGGAACAAGATCCAGACGCTGAACTTTCTTGATCAGTAAATAGAGGGTACAGGTCAGTTCTGAAGAGAGAGCCGAAGTTTGCTTGGATGCCAATTCAAGCAATTCCATCCATTCAGAATATCTGTATCTGATCAGCTCATCCCTCTTGACAACTTCAGTGTATGGATGTTGAGGACCTTGACGAGTGATCAACAAAGTAAGAATTTTCTCGTTACGAGGTTTAGAGGCTTTAACCTTGATGATGTTATCACTGCTCACTCGTTGTTTAAGAACATCTTGAAATCTCTTACGATCAATCCGGTTGAGAACATTTTCAGTCCTTGACTTGCTGCCGCTGGGAGGAGGCTGAGAAGATTTGGATTTGGACTGATATTCTACGAACTTTTGCATCTGAGCTTCAAAAGATCCTTTGGCCTGAAGTTTATGCTGAATGAGAGATTCATCAGCTTGAGCAATATTCTTTAGAAGCTGAGCTTGATTGGCTTCATTAAGAATTTGCTTAACTTGATCAGGAGACATGTTCCATTCAGCTGCCAAGTTGGATATGCTGACGGTGGACTTAGGTTTCTTGCTAGGCAGAGAAGTATCAGTGTGTAAAGAAGCCAATTCAGTATTTGCTGCCTTGCGCTTGCGAGATAGAGGTTGAGTATCCTCACTAGCTACATCAGAATCTTCTCCTTGGACTGGCATAATGGGATCAATGAATTTCATATCTAGCATTTGACATTCATCATCATGTTCATCTTCATCATCATCTGAGGCTTCCCCTTGAACTAGAATAGTGGGATCAATGAAGTTCATGTCCAACATCTGACACTCATCATCATGTTCATAATCATGCTCATTATCTTCAGCAAGCTTTTCAGTATCTGCTAGTCTAATAGGCTCCTCAGCAACTGGTCTATCAGACTCGTGCACAGACTGTGGTGGCTCAGTCTGGTTTAAGGTGTTATCCTCAGATCCGAGCTCAACAGATTCAGTGTCTCCCTCTTTTGGATCATCATCATCGTCATTTTCTCCCCCTTTTTGATCATCATCATGTTGTGGGCCAGGGGAAGGAGTTGTCAAAAGAACTCCCTTCAGTTGATGGACATCGGCCTCAATTCGTAAAAGACGCTGACTCATGTCCCGAGTCAGTGTAAGTAGCTCATTGAATGTTGAGGCCGGTATATGAAGGAATTGAGTACCTGGAACTTGTTGGGAGAAAGGTTGCTCCCCCGGAGAAGGGTGCTCCCCCTGGGATGGTTGCTCCCCCTGAGATGGTTGTTCCCCCTGAAATGGTTGCTCCCCTTGAGCTGAGTGAACTTTCTTAGTGACAGAAAGAGTATGATGAGAAAGTTGAGGGGAGAGATGACCACCATCCTGTGATTCAGCTTCTTGATCAGCATGATCGTCGTTGTTACCATCAGCTCCTTCATCAATATCAGCGGTTAGTGAAGGAACGGTATATGGATTTGCAATCCATTCTCTCATCCGATCAGAGATGCCGATGTCAGTTTCCAATGGATCATCCTGATACATTCGCATTGACATGCGTGGGCATTGGATGGGGTTTCCAGAGTGTGAGTAGTAAGCTTCAGCGAAAAATTTATCTAGCACAAGAGCAATCCAGCATGGAAAGGGGACATGATCAGCGCGTATATTTGCACGAAGAAGTTGAACAAGCTGATCAAAGAAGAAAGCCCCATAATCAAGTCGTTTGTTGAGAAGAAGGGAACAGACGACTTGTTGCTCATAAGTGCTCAGTTGATCACCACTGCGAGATTTGTGACCTACACATTTGCACAGAGCACCGTTGAAGAACTTCCATCCTGGAGTCATACATTGACGTAGAATGAGAGCTGATCGAGTACCAGCCTTTGAGTGATCATATCGCAGTTGATGAAAGAGACGTCGACAGCGTTCAATAGGTGGAAGCTCAGAGAAGGGTTCAAAGATTGGTAACCTGAGCGCAGCACTGAGGAGGTCAGCGGTAATAAAGAGTGTTTTCCACGGCCAATAGTCCCGGAGATGACGTTGTTTTCATCATTAATTTTTGCAGTGTAGTAGAACTCACATACTTGTTCGGGAAATAACTCTGATGGAACGTCACTGATTGCGTATCGGAGTCGGCAAGAGACTAAGAAATTGAGAAAATCATCAAGTCCAAGACCTCGATGAACATCTGGAATATCAGGGTTGAAAACTACGTTGGTGGCTTTGATGTATATAGGAAGAGGAGGAGAGTTTGGAGCTGGGACGACTCTTCTTAAAGTGGAGGAGAAGGTGAACAGTGATGCCGACATTGAAGAAGTTTAGGATTCTACGTTTTTTTTTTCTTTTTGTTGTTAAAAGAGAGAGAATATTGGAGGAAGGTAAAAAGGTTTGGGAAGAGGTGAAAAGGTTTAAATAGGAATGAAAGGGTAAAAAGTAATGATTATCTTTAGCGAAAATAACTGCGTATCTTGACAGACTGTCAAATAAAAAAAATAGTCGTTGGGTAAATAGAGTCGTTGTACCAAAGAGGAAACGACAATCAGTGACTACGGAAGCGCTGAGATTGTTGTCACAGAAAGTTATATGCTGAAAGATAGTTTGTCGTCAATTCAAGGTACAACTTGCTTGTTTAGGGTTAGCAAGGTGATTGGTGCGTGTGATAGATACTAGTTTAATTATCTAACCATCGGCACAGAGTGTCGAGTCTTTATCAGTGAGTGGTATTTCTTACTGAATCATTAGACACTGAGTGAGAAGAAGGTGAAGAGAGGATTGTTGTGTGTGATAGACACTGGTGTTTTGGTCTAACCATCGGCAAAGATTGTTAGATTCTCATCAGCATGTGTTTTGTCACACCGAATCATAGAATCAGTGTAAGATTGGTAAGAGTGGATAGTTGCGTGTGATAGAACTTGGTGTTTTGTCTAACCATCGGCAAAGACTGTTAGATTCTCATCAGCATGTGTTTTGTCACACTGAATCAAAGAATCAGTGTAAGATTGGTAAGAGTGGATAGTTGCGTGTGGTAGAACTTGGTGTTTTGTCTAACCATCGGCAAAGAGTTTCAAGTTGTTATCAGTGTATGGTTTAATACAGTGAATCATTCAACTTTAGTTTAGAAGATTTGTAGAAGAGAGAGAGAGATAAGAGATCATACAATTAACTCGGCATGCTAAACATCATCAGCACATCATCATCAGTACAAAAAAAACATTAGTGTATAAGACAATAGCAAACATTAGTAAAACAATTTTTCAATCGAGAGTGATTATTCCAAGTTTGCCAATGATGTGAACATTAGTTTGAGTATCCAGGGCCTTGGTGAAAATGTCAGCTAGTTGATCGGAAGTCTTGACATGCTTTAAAACAACCTTGCCCTTCTCAACATTGTCTCTGATGAAGTGATGTATGATCTCTATATGCTTTGTCTTTGAGTGCTGAACCGGATTCTGTGTGATCTGAATGGCATTGGTGTTATCACAGAATATAGGAGTCTTTGTGAATTTAAGCCCATAGTCTAAAAGTTGATTTTGAATCCATAAGATTTGAGCACAACATCTTCCAGCGGCAACATACTCAGCTTCTGCAGTGGAGATAGCTACTGAGGTTTGTTTCTTGTTGGACCAGCTGATTAGTCGATTTCCAAGGAAATGACATCCGCCTGACGTGCTCTTCTTGTCTAAGTTGCAACCTGCATAGTCGGAATCAGTGTATCCAAAGAGTTCAAGCGCTGAGTCACGAGGGTACCACAGTGCCAAGTTCTAAGTGGCCTTTAAGTATCGAAAGATGCGTTTGACTGCAATGAGATGAGACTCCTTTGGATTAGCTTGGAATCTAGCACAAAGAATGGTTCCAAACATGATATCAGGACGACTTGCACTGAGGTAGAGAAGGGATCCGATCATTCCTCGATAAAGAGAGTTATTAACATCAGCGCCAGTTGGATCAGCGTGTAGCTTATCAGTTTTGGACACCGGAGTAGAAGCTGGTTTGCAGTTGCTGAGAGAATACTTAACTAGCATGTCAGCAATGTATTTACTTTGACAAATTGAAATACCTGATTTTTGTTGCTGAACCTCAAGACCTAAGAAGAAACTCATCTTCCCCATCATGCTCATTTCGAACCTTTGAGACATGATCTCAGCGAATTCTTTGCTCAGCTTCTCATTTGGAGATCCAAAGATGATGTCATCGACATAGATTTGAACAAGAATCATTTCCGAGCCTTTCTGTTTGATGAAGAGAGTATTGTCAATTGCTCCTCTTCTGTAGCCATTTTCAAAAAGATATGATGTCAGTGTCTCATACCAGGCCCTAGGAGCTTGCTTCAGTCCATATACAGCTTTATCTAGTCGGTACACATAGTCAGGGTGCTCTATGTCTTCAAAGCCTAGGGGCTATTTGAGAAATACCTCTTCTTGTAACTCACCATGAAGAAATGCCATTTTGACATCCATTTGGTAGACAATGAAGTTCATGTATGAAGCGTATGCGAGAAACAGTCTGATTGCTTCAATGCGGGCAACTGGAGCAAAAGTCTCCCCGTAGTCGATGGATTCAATTTGAGTGAACCCCTGAGCAACAAGTCTTGCTTTGTTGCGAGTAATAATACCATATTTATCAACCTTGTTGCGGTAGACCCAGCGTGTTCCGGTGATGGTCTTTCCTGATGGTCTGGGAACAAGCGTCTAAACCTTGTGCCGTTCGAACTCGTTCAGCTCATCTTGCATGGCCTTAATCCAGTCAGCATCTTGAAGAGCCGAGTGTATCTTGTCAGGTAAAATCATTGAAACGAAATTCACGTACATGCAAAAATTATTAGATACACGAGATCTGGTTCAGACACCATCATGAAGATTCCCAATAATTTGATCAACAGGGTGATCTTGATGTCCAGAAGCTGATTCCACTGGATTTGACGTTGAAGTGTTATTGCTGAAGGGAACATCAGTTGCATGAGAGTCTTCATTCTCAAGAGTTTCATCAGCATCAGACAAATGAGTTGTTGAGTTGACCGCAGTATCTTGATTCAAGGAATTTGGATCTGGAACGATAGGATTAGGAATTGTAGCTTCTTCTTCAGTGTGAGAAACTTCATCATATGGACAAGAGAGAAGCTCTTGAAAAATAGAGGAAGAATGAGCTACTTTTTCATCAGTGTATGATTCCTCATCAAACTTCACATGAATAGATTCTTCAATGCACTGCCTGTTCATATGAAAAACATGAAAAGCTTTTGAAATAGATGAGTATCCAACAAAAATACCTTTGTCAGCCTTAGGCTTAAATTTTGATCTTGGATCACGCTGATTAAGAATATAACAAATGCATCCAAACACGTGAAAGAAGGATACGTCCGGCTGTCGACCTTTCAGCATCTCATATGGTGTCTTCTTGTGAATCATGTGAATTAGAGATCGGTTCTGAGTAAAACATGTTGTATTAACAACTTCAGCCCAAAACGACATGGGAAGACCAACATGAATCATTAAGGTCCTTCCTGCCTCAATCGGTTTTCCATTTCTTCGTTCAACAACTCCATTTTGTTGAGGAGTGCGAGGAGCTAAAAATTTATGCCCAATGCCTTTATACTTACAAAATTCTTCAAGAGTTGAATTTCGGAACTCAATTCCATGATCACTTCTTAGCTGCTTAACTTTGAGACCAGTCAGTGTCTTATTTTTACGAATCAGCAAGATAATTTCCTGTGCAACATGGCTTTTCTTCTTCAAGAAAACCACCCATGTAAATCGAGTAAACTCATCCACAACCACTAGAGTATACTTGTTTCCTCCTTGGGAACGATCAGGAATAGGTCCAAACAGGTCCATGTGTAATAAATGAAGAGGAACAGATATGCTAGAACATGACTTGGGTTTGAATGATGACATGGTTTGTTTTCCTTGTTCACACGCTGAGCACATCTTGTCTTTGACAAAGCTGAGTTTTGGGAGACCTCTAACTAGATCTTGATTGGAAATTTTGGATAGATTTTTAAAGTTCAAATGAGAGAATCTTTTGTGCCAAATCCAGCTGAGATTGGTTTGAGACTTTGTAAAGAAACATTGCATCAGCACCTTGTCACTTGAGAACATGTCAAGAACATATATATATATATATATATATATATATATATATATATATATATATCATCTTTTCTGCTTGCTGAAAGTACGATGTTCTTGTCAGTGTTAACAACTCTTCCTTCCTTCTTTGTGAAGTGAACTTCATAATCAGCATCACACAATTGGCTGATTGAGATAAGATTGTGTTTGAGACCCTTTACATATGAAACGTTCTGAAACACCACGTTATTGCACTTGATATTTCCATATCCTTTAGTGAGCCCCTTTCCATTGTCTCCGTATGTTACTGCAGGACCAGTTTTCTTGACATAGTTTTCCAGAGTTCCAGGAGAGACTTGGATCCTGTCATATGTCTAGAGCAACCACTATCTAAGTACCATAGATGCTCCTGGCCCTGCAGTGCTGAGAACCTAGTTAGAACACACTGACCCATTGGAAGATGGGTCATTCACAAAGTTATTTGACAATATATTATAGCACTCTTTAAGAAGACAGTTTAAAGAATTTGATTTAAGAGTCCATTTTTCATTTCTAACTTTGATGTTATCAACTCTTAATGATGTTTTATCAAACTTGCATTCACTGATTTTGTGAGTTGAGTCACCACACCTGTAGCAAATTCTAGTACCAAAGTTTTTCTTGGTAAATGCATTTTTAGATTTAACACATTTATATTTGAAAGATTCACCAAGTGAACTTTGAGTCCTTTTATTTAACATTGAATTACTAAAGAATTCAGTGTCAGAAGAACTACAATCAGTGATGGATGAGGAGCTGACATCAATATCAGATTTAGACTTATGTACTGAAACACTGCAATCAGGATATTGTTCAAGTTATTCATGAACAGCATGAAACACTCCGTTTGAGGCAGGAAATGCGATAATATTTTTAGTGAGAGGAGTTGGTCTCACAAGACGTGCAGGATAAGAAGTAGGATCAATTCCAGTAATTTCAATATTACACTCAGTAACACCATTAGAGTCAGTAACACATTGTTCATCAACGAGACTCTGATTAATAAAGGTGTTGCTGATAAATGTGTTTTTGAAACTATCTTTTAATTCATTTATGGAATAAAATTCAGATTCCTTTTCTTGAGATTTAAAAACCTTTTCTGCTTCAGCAAAATTTCCCCCAAGGATTTTCTCACATGAGTGAGGTATTTGAGCAGAAATAACATAATTAGCATTTTTGTGAGATTTAGCCCAAAGTTTTAAAAC